CTCGAAATGTCAGCTTTTATAATCGTAACGGTGGCCAATTTACCATTTCAACTTTGTTGATATATTCACAAAATTAGTTGACTGCAAAGGGGGAGTCTGATTTATTTATCAAGAGTATGACTGCAGACCAAATTGAATGACACAAAGTCCTCTAACCAATTTATTTTAACCAGTTCAATTTCTGAAAATTAACAAATACAATCTCTTTGGTAGAGATATTGTCTAGAGTAAAAAATTCTTCTACTTTGAAATTTCCCAGTTTTGTAGGGTAAGTGGTCGTGGCTAGGGTTATTGTAATCAATTCTGTGTTTGATGGATTTAGCTAAGGGGAATTTTTATGATTGGCTGCCTTAACTGTCCAATTACAGGTGTCTGATCACATTGTCAGGCTGCACTGTCCAATCACAATTCTACAGAATAATTAGTGTAAAATAAAGCAGCTGATATATGAATCAAATTTGGGGAAATTGTACTGGTTGTGATTAATAGTTAGGAAACTCAGTGGCTCTAAGTTTTTTTGCACATAGTATTGAACCTACAGACCAATAAGGACCTCTCATAAATTTGTATTGATAATAACGTGATTCCAAGTGCAATGTGATGTAAATAAGCACAAGTAGCTTTTTTACAGACAACAAAATTGAGTGAGTCCATAGGGCAAATACAATTTGTAGTCTTTCAAAAATTTACACATGAAATAGCATTAGCAAAAGTCATGAAAGAGAAAATCATATTTGTTGCCTCTTCTCCACCCGATGTCTTATATGAATAAAGCAGCTTTGCCCATGGTAAACTCTAATGAGACAATCATTTATATATCACTGTCAATATTTCTTTTTTGTAAAAAACACAGATCCCTCACAAAAGAATAATATTAATGTCTTCATCATGTGATCCCTCAACAGGACCTCACTGAGCGATACAGGAGGCAAAGAAGAACAAAACTAGAAATAATGAAAGGGGAAGAACCACAAAGTTTTTTCAGGTGGTTCACAAATCAAGAGTCTGGAGATGAGTTAGGAGACACAATTAAAGATGACATATGGCCAAACCCTCTGCAATATTTCTTGGTATGTTGTGTTATGTTACAGTGTTACAACAAACTGTTTATAAACCACTATGGTCTAGTTCTCAAAAGAAGTCTTGGTACTGGTTAGTCTGTATGAAAAAAAAGAGCTGTCCTCTTTATAGTAAGGGACGAAGGGCTAGCGTTCCGATGAAGGGCTAACATTCCTTTGCTCCGATGAGGGGCTAACGCTCGAAATGTCAGCTTTTGTAATCGTTACGGTGGCCAATTTACCATTTCAACTTTGTTGATATATCTAAATTATTTCGTTACCCTCACAGATGCAGCCCAAAACAGTTTCTTTAGAAACTATCAGCCTTTATTCTCTTTATAGTAAGCACACTCATTTTTGTACTTGAAAACTTATGCAGAATGTGTTATTGTTTTGTTTTTAGCCTAGTAGTGTTTTTTTTTTGGCGGGGGGGGGGGGGGGTTAACTCCCCACAAGATCTGGCTGTGGGAGTACACCCTTCATAGGACAGAAACCAAAATGTATTTCAAAATCTATGCAAGTCAGTCTTGTTTATGCCAGCCTCTGTAATTTACATGACTTGTGCGGCATCACTGAAAAAATATCTTTTTCCCTCAAAGAGTAAAGCAGATATAGTTTTGCAGCATCTTAATATTGTTTTCAAATGTGTAGGGTTCCACAAGTGGAATTCAGGAAGAGGATGAAGATGATGATGATGATGTTGACGATGACGAGTCAGAAGATCAGGTCATGTCTCTTGCATTTATAATCTGCCAAATTTTTTTAGGTGTAGCTTCTACATTTTCATTGCCTTGCCATTAAGTCAAGACTTTGTTTGTTACAAAGGAGATGTACCAAAAATTGCAAAGACCCCTAACTAGTCTTTTTTAAATATCTGAAAATGCCCTATTTGCGTGGTAAATCAACTGATTAATTGATATTGAGTGAGGAAGTGGGTGATTTAGAGACTGAATGACCGACTGATAGACTGACTGCCTGACTGACTTACTAGCTAACTGACTGAAAGTCTGTTGGCTAACTGACTGATTGGCTGATTGATTGATTGACTGTTTGAAATCATCAATTAGTTCATCATGAGTGCATTTATCAAAAAATGTAACTGAATGACCAAGGAGAAGGTTCAAAGCTCTCATTAATCACTTACATAACTGCATCTCAACTAAATCTGTGTCTGCCTTTATCTACAGGATGATGTCGTAGTTGTGGAGGAAGAAGATGAAGATGATTTGGGTGATGAAGGGGAAGGAGAAGATGATGATGAAGAAGACGACGAAGATGATGACGATGAAGAAGAGGAGGAAGTGGTTGTTGAAGAGGGAGAAGAAGAGGAATTGGCAGAAGGGCAGGAAGGGGAGACACCTGTTGTGTATGAGCTGGAGGAAGAGGATGATGATGGTGATGAGGAAGCAGAGCAAGGGGTGAGACATAGAGGAACACTTTGACTCTTAACTCCCATGCGTGACCAAGGCAGAAGTTCATCTTAAAATATCAATACAGTATTAAGCAGAAAAAGTGATAAGAATAAAAGAAACAGATCAATTAAAGAAAAATTGTAAAATGATCTAATACCAAATTCTGTGAACTATCTTCATTAAAATTGTTTGGCAGACAGTAAGGAGAATTACTTATGAGATCGTGGGTGTGAAATGGTTAAAGAATCAAATTTGATAAGGAAGGGGGGAGTGGAAAAGTTTAGGGAAAGAGGACAGAGGTAGATGGGGAAAAAGGGCCCCTAAGTGTTTCCATTTACAGCAGAATTATTGAGAATTGCATCCATAATTATGATGCTTGTATCAACTGTGAATGCATAGACATGTCTTATTCCCATAGGTTCAGAACAAACACCAAACAGCAGGGCTATGCACTAATTTTTCTACTTACTAGCCAAGTGGCTAGTGACAACTTAGATGTTACAACAATTTCAGTTTGTTTACTCACCAAACTAGGTAGTGGAAATTGAAAACCACTGGCAAAAACTGAATTTCTATCAGTCTGTGGTTAGTTGGCTACTGTTAGTGTTAAGCTCTGCAAACAGGCTGTTACTGCTTTTGAGCCATTTTAGTCTAAATTTATGAATGGTTTTGAGGATGTAGCTCATTTAATGCCATAGCCTAATCATAGTTATCGGGGACGTAGCGTCCATATACGCACGTACGCCCGTGCGTACAGCTGAAATCTGGAAAAAAAAAATTTTATTCCCCTATGGCATTTGTCACAGTTACCATAAAATAGGACCGATTTTTAAATTTCGAATTAAACTGACGCGTGTGTATGTTTTTCCAGTACCTTTTCTACCCCCTTTTTAGTTTTAGGTTACCGAAAACTCTAGAGATGGGTAAAATAAACAACTAACTACTACATTTTCCGACGCATTTATTTATAAAAAAGTTCCGCGGAAACAGTTTGAAATAGCATTTCCGAGACCCTAAATTTCAAAATTTTCTGGGGGAGCATGCCCCCAAACCCCCTATAGTTAGGGGCCCTTTCGGCGCTCCCAATTTCCGCGCTGTGTATACACCTTCAAAATCTCACGCTACGCCTCTGTAAGTTATACTTTAACTTGCCACTCTTCATAATAGAGTTGACGAAATTTTAAAGCAATTGTTAGTATCGAGGACTCTCGCTTTAAGGGGTGCTTTGACTTCTGACCAAGTCATTGTGTTATATGCTAAGACATAACACTTGTCGTAGTACCTATTTCCACCCAGGGGGTACAAATGGGTAGTATTAAATTGAGGAAAACCTTAGGAAATACAGGACCACACTACGATCCTATCGGCTAGTGATCATACTCCTTTTCCCTTCTTGCCAAAGAAACTCAAGCTCTGACAACCATGCAAGGCAGTCTCATGCAGATTTTGCCTGGAGGAAGCTGAAAGTTGAAGTTAACAGTTTTGTTTACTTTTTAAGGAGGAAGCCCTTCTCGAGGGAGAAGAAGACGAAGAGGATGTGGAGGAGGACGAAGGAGTTGAACAAGAGGATGATGACGAGGGAGATGAAGGGGAAGAAGAAGAAGAAGATGACAGCAAGACAGAAGAATAACAACGTTACATTTCTACCTTTGTGTAATCAAGATATCGTGTTCAAGTCATCCACTAAATTGTGGATGTTTGACCTTGACACTCGAGTGAAACATCCAAGTTTCTCTCCTACTGAAGTTACACTGTGAGAGTGCTTTCCAGTCCTCAATCAAAAACTTATTGTTTTACAAAATTCATATTTTTTATATGCGCTTTATCACTTCATTTATTTCCATTCACAGGTTTGCATGACTCATTGTGTGATGCCAAGTGTCACACTTGTTAGTCTTTGGTAGGTTTGTCGGATGGCATACCTTCGCCCTTCTTCTATTTCTCGAATTCATTGCCCTATTGACGCAAGTTTATCCTTATTAAGGAATACCTGTTGAATTTTCGGGCTATGGATCGCTGATTTCTGATTGTTCATCCCGAATTAAAAACCCATGTAGATAGAAGGTGATTATCGAAGGTATGTGTGTAATCAAAGAGATGTTTCTCACGAAGGTTGTATGTATGCTATCTCAGGGCTACGCATGTAATCCCAAAGATATTTACGTTATCCACAGATACATACGGGGACATGCGTAGTCCTAAACTTGTGACGTAATGTGCTCACAGCATTTATAGAATGCGGGAGGTCCTTAAATTCAGAGAAAGGCTTTTTTAAAAAAGTTGTCATTATTTACCCAAACGTTGATCCTAAGTGATAGTCACTCGACATATTGTCGCTGTAACGGTTTTTGTAAAATTGTACCACTTCAAGTCACCAAGTCTACCTACGCACAAAGAAACTCGCAAGCCAATCTGGATGTAAGGCAAACGGAGGAAAACGAATAAACGACGAGGACAGATAAATAGAGAGTGGCTTAAAGAAAATAAAACGAAAATGTATCAGACAGGTACTAAAAAGTTATCAGGCTTAACCTACTTATTGGTTAAACGCCTGCGCATGTGTGAACATTGTAGCGACTTGGTGGCGTGGTTTTAGGCTGTCAGAACCAAGTTGTCTTACACGAGTTACAAACAACCGCAAAAGCCAGGAAGTCGGGGTGGTTTAGAAGCGGAAAACTGTATGTTAAATCAACATGATACTCATACTTGGTGAAGCTTTGTGTTCGAGAAGTCTTGAATTTTCATTTTCCCAATTTTTGTCTCCTCTAAAGGTTTCTAAACGAATGCGATTTTTCCTATGTTTTCCTTTAAAGTTTTGCGCGGGAATTTGGCGCGCGGCTGGGCAGGAGTAATCCCCTCGCGCATGCTCGACGTTTGACTGCTGTGTTAGCTTAACCTTGCTTTCAATTGGTCTGTTAATCATCTGATCTATTAGATTAGACCGCTGGGTTTCTGTTGTCAATGTTGGTCGTCACTCCTGGCACTCTAAGTTCGTTTGCCAGTCTTGCAATTTGTCAGACTCGTTTAACGACCGGTACCTCCCCCTTAAAAAGCATCATAAGAAAGGATGATATGAGGTTGATACTTGCAAATCTTCTGAAATCCTGTTAAGTTGAACGATAGAATAGTATTCCTTTGCCCTTTTAACGGTATTGCAAGCACTGACTTTTCTCTCTGAAGGGTTAGCGATAAATCATGATTTTCATTGTTCAAAAGAGGAATCTCAAATCTTCCAATCAGACTTTTTGCACTTTCATCGTGTGATTGCCGTAATTTATTGCAAACTGTTTATCATTTGATTGTAATAAAGGTTTTTAAGTACAACTGCTCGTTCCACTTAACCGTAACTTAACAGAACTTGACCGTCACTATCTGTACTTCCGTTAGACATACTTAACCGTCACTGGACGTATTTGATCGTTCCTGGACGTATTAGACCCTCGCTGGAAGTATTTGACTGTCATTGGACGTATTAGACCGTCCCTGGACGTATTTGATCGATATTACAGCACATATTTCACCGTCTCTGGACGCACTGGACTGTCACTGGAACAACTTGACCCTCACTGGACACTTGAAACCGTTAATTGACGTATTAGACCGCCACTTCACGTATTGGACCATGACTGGACGTATTAGATCATTACTAGACGTATCTGACCGTCACTGAAGGTATATAACCGTCATTAAACATATCTAATCATTACTGGATAGAGCGCTGGACTGTAGTGCGGGAGGTCGAGAGTTCGAGCCCCGGCCGGACCAACACTCAAGGTCTTAAAATAATTGAGAAGAATTTGCTCCCTTTCTATAACATCAAGAAATGGTTAGATATTCTAGTCTTCCCGGATAGGGACGAATAAATGGAGGTCCCGTCTCCTGCAGGGTTGGGGCAGGAGACGTTAATTTCCCACACACGAGATTACTGTGTGATGGATGTCCTCCCCTGGGGTGGGATAGGTGGGTTAGGACAGCAGGTCCACATCAGCTATTACAGCTGCCAAATTAATCAACCTGCTAAAACAAATAAATAAATGAAAAAAAAAAAAAAATGACTGGACGTAAAAGACGTCACCACGTACAGTCACTGGACGTGTTGGACCGTCACTTCACCTGATTGACCGTCATTAAATGTACTTTAGAGAAAATAAGGGGTCCCTTTGTTTTCTTTGGATGTTTTTCACCTTAACAAGACGAATTTGACGGCAAACGGTTAAAATGTTGGCAAATTTAAGGCTGACGAAATATCTTTCCATTGCTGTCACCATAAAAAATTCTTACAGTTAAATTTTCTTACGACTGAACGGTTAAAATTTGTCAATTATTACGCCTTACGGCTAAAGTTTTTGTCCGTATAGCGGCAAACGCTTAACCCCATTGAGACCCTTACTTAACCATCGCTGAGAATATTTTGCGGTCATCGGAAGTCCTCGACTGTCACTGGAAAAACTGATCGTCACTCGATATCTTCCCCGTCTCTGGATGTATTTGACTTCATTTCGTAACCTACTTCCATTCGTGCTTGATTAACCCTTACATTGACTTAAACATCAGTATGCATATTCTCCCTGTCGTTCTCCATACATTTCCTTGAGGCACTCAAGGAGAATTTGTTTAACAATCAAGAGCTTTTTCTTAGTTGATGATCATTTCCTTTATTCTCACGACCTTAATGTTTGATTCAGGGGTGATATTGTATGGAGAAATGAAATTAGATATTAGTCACTCTTGGGTCAAAGGGTAACAGTATGTGTGCTTCAACATCACTGGTCGTTTTTGATCGTCATTTCATCAGTCACTAGAAGTACTTGATGGTCTTTAAACGCGCGTGACCTTAACTAAGTGTATAATTAACAATTGGTTCATGCTTTAGCGTGCACTATCGAGTTATGGAGCACGTGAGAAGTTTGGAGAGCACGAAAGAAGCGTAAGAGTTGCCCGAGGCGATAGCCGAGGGC